ATATATAGCTCTTGTAGTATTAGTCTTGAGTATTGTAATGGATGTATTTCACTACATCCAGTATTATTTTATCACAGAATATTGGGATAAAGAAATACATCAATCACGAATGTGCTAAATATTGTATTTTGAGTTTCTTTTCCGGATATTTTGATTGTTTAATCTGTACTGAGTTGACAGTTTATTAGTTACACGTAGCTAAAACTAATGCAGTCTAATACAACAAACCTACGATAAATCCTACCTTCATTAAGGTTAGAATATTCATTTTAGTTAAAGAGTAACCAGCTGAAAACATGTACATGGGTATCGATTCAGGTTCAAATCTTGATATGTTGGTGCAAAATATTTAAATTCTACATATTGTGTATACCTCCCTCTCCTAATTGTAGCAGCTTCCATCACCAACCAAGCCCCTCCCCCCCGCTACTATAAAACCAACGTCCTGTCCTGCTACGTAGCCGTATTAACACTCCCTAACAGAAACCAAAGGCTTTGGCCTCTGTGAGCAGAAAACTACCGTAAATGTGCTTCTAGTGACTGTTGAAGCTCCAATGGCACGGACAATGTCTGACTGCAGCTTCTCATGGCTGTTATCTCTGACTACCAGCCGCTGTATTATTGCTACATTGAGCGGTGGTAAGTCTGTCACTCTGGTCAGTGTTATTTCTTGCGTTATATGCTATGTAGGCCACATCCCTAACAGTGGCAGAATTTTGTGGTGCAGTTACACTGTTATGTTCCTATTACTGTTGAACTGCATTGCACTTTTGATATTGTGTCTATCCTATGTATGTCAGTGGGGGGAGTCACAATAATATTAATTACAAAAAGTGACTTTGATTGTTAGGAACCTGCCTGTTCATGGCCTGTTTAGCCAGAGTCAGTTACAGGTGTATTGGAGATTTGCTATCATGTGAATTTGAGTGGCTAATACAAAAATAGTTATTTTAGAAGATGTAATCATCTGTCATTTGTCAAGAAGACAAATTTGACTTGGCCTAAAATTTTCAAGAATCATGGAGTGTTATGTCCAGTCATAATTAGAAGAAAACACCCACTCTGTTTTGCTATGTAAACTTAGAAATGAGTGACATGGCATAGGCCATGCCCTTATCTGACATACAGTGGTACTCATTTAATAACATCAGTCAGTGTATTAGGTTTCCAAAACATCACTATCCTGAAAATGCAGGTGTTTTTTACATCGTGTTCAGTTCTAACCAGTGACAATTAATTTCCCTGTCAAAGAAAAACAAACATGTTTGCATGAGGGCAGGTGTGTAGCACAATTCCATTTTCTCACACAATACTTGCTGCTGTGTCTACCTCAGCCAGCCAATGCTTTCTTGTGTCCACGTATGTGTTTACATGGGAGGTTGTTTGCCCCCTTTTTGAGGGTTGCTGTGTCATTGGCTTGCGTATAAGCTCCTAACAAGCTCCCAGGATTCTCAGTCTTACTAGCTTCTATACCGTGGGTGCATTGTTGTGCACTTCCAATAAAGGCAATCAAGGCGTCAATATCAGCAGATACTCAATAGAAAATGTGGATTGGGGACAAAAAAACTTGATCAGGATACCCCTATTTTTTGTTACTGCTGTATCATTGCAGTGAAATTTCACTGGTACTGGTACTACTAAATCTCTGGTATCATGACATCGCTGCTTCCATGAATGTTAGGGATGTCTCGCCTCTGCTCAGAGGAGAAATAGTGCTAGAGATCCACTGCAAGTGCAAGAAAAAAGCCCAGTAAACCAAAAAAACAAGAACAATTAATTTAACCTGGCAAGAAATGCATAGAAAACAGAAATATACAGACAGTTCATTCAGGTAAATCAGTTAAAGTTTGTACTCAAGCACCAAAGAATGGAGAGAGAGAGGAACTCCCTGCAGACAGCAACAAGGCCAAAAAGATTACAGAGAGAGTTTATTATATTATTAAAAAAGAGATTAAAAACATAGTTTTCTTGATGCATTGCAGAGCTATTCAACTGTCGAGCATATACTTTGGATTGATTTTAATAACTGTAATGTACTTGAAGTGTACACTAACCTATATTATCTAAAAGAAAAAATACAAGTGTTGGATTGGGACTTGGTACCGGCAGATACTCAATATTAAATGACTGATTGGGGGCAAAAAAAAAATGATTGAGACATCTAGTTAATGTCAGAAGAAATGACTAGATTTTTCTGAAATATAATATGATGTTAAAAAATTTGAGTTGGGGAAAGTAGAGGCAAACGTTGTTAGGCTGGGTGAGCGATTAGACCTTAGTAACCTGGTATAGTCTCTTTAAGTTGATGGTTACAAATGTTGGGGAAACCTCAAAGGCAAAACGTTAAATGAAGAAATAAATGAGGTTCAAATTCAGACTACCGGCTTCCCAGGAGCCTATTGTTATTATTGTTCTGTTTAGAATTATTTTGAACTCTTTAGTGTTTCCATAATCCGCTATTATTTCTTACCTACTGTAAAGCTAGAATCTGTGTGTGTTTGGGTAATGTCCAGTCAACGGTCCAGACCCCTCTGCTGTGCACCAGCCGCTCTGGCATGGCGTTATGTTGAGGTCACTGTCTTGTGATCGGAGGGGCTATGTGACACTTCATCTCATTACAGCCGGCCTCTCAGGAGTGTGTGGGTGTGTGTGTGTGAACCCAGATCTTTTGACGGAAAATTCCATAGTCACAGAAGGTAGTGCGAAGCAGACTGGACACCCTGAGGCTTAGAAAGTACACGCGCTCAGTCACAACACATTTACTGTACCTTGGTTAGAGCCAAAGCTGGAAACCCAACCTTTGATCACATGGTTGTTTGTAGAGAACAGCTTACCTATCACCATTTGTCTGGCTTGGTTTATGCCTGTTGGCATGACAAAGTTGTCTATTTTTATGAGTAGAGCTGCAACAATTAGTCTATTTATCGATATGTTGTCAACTGTTAAATAAATTGGCAACTAAAGTTTTTCCAGGTTTTCTGATTCCAGCTTCTTAAATGTGAATATTTTCAGGTTTATTTCGTCCTGTATGACAGTAAACTGAATATCTTTGGGCTGTGGATAAAACAAGACATTTGAGCACATCACCTTGGGCTTCGTGAAACAGCAATCAGCGTTTTCTCATCCTTTTGTGACATTTTATGGACCAAACAACTAATCGAGAAAATGATGGCCATATTAATCTTTTGTTGCAGCCCTACTTAGGAGGGATGCAGATCTTGTCAGTGTCCATAAATGATTGTGATCCATGTTAACAATCCTCCAATCGCTGCGGTAGGAGAAACACAGCAGCTGAGGCACCAAATTGTAAAACCTGACATTTTTGCAACCCCACCGTGTCAGTAAACTCCTCACATGTGCCATTGTGTCTACCTTGTCATCTTGCCATTTGAGTCTCCCTGCCAACTTTTGTATTCATACACACCAAGTTAATTGAAGCTCAGTTTAAGATGGACTCGCTGTGCTCAAGATGAGCATTATGTGTAGATGCCTGCATACGTTTATGTGTGTGTGTGTGTGTGTGTGTGTGTGTGTGTGATCCAGATGTCCTGTTGTTACCCTACAGAAGATGCAGAGTGGAGCGATTACATCAACAAAACTGGATGACTGCCAAAGCCAGGAATAGATTCCGAGAGCCTAAAATACCACATAAGCACACGGACCGAACATATACATACATACACACATACATGGCAAGAGGTCATTTAATAATAGTATTTTTGTTAATGTGCAGTGTCTTTTTATATATGGCTGTTTGTAATTGTATTGGGTGGGCTCTAAACTCATCCAAAAAAATTGCATAACTCAGAAATAGAACTGTGCCAAACACAACGTTCTAAATGCGTACATTTAAGGAAGAAATGAACTGGAACAATGCATGTTTTCCACCACTGTCCAGTGCCCTTGAAGGGAAGCTGCACACAGACACTCTGATCTGGATCAATGCCACCGTTAGATGTGGTTCTGCACTCTCTCGGGAGCCCCCTCTTCCCTCTCCCTCACTTCCCCTTCCTGTCTGCAACAGGAAGTCAGCCTAGTTGGGCTTCAGATGGCCTCATCTTCTTCACATCTGTTATCAGGAAGGGGGGAGCTTGTGATGGCACTCAACTTACCAGATGAGTTGCTATTTGTGTGTGTGTGTGTGTGTGTTTATGCAGGACGCATGCTTTTCATTTTTTCACACACATTCACTCATCTATTTTGGGAAGACGCTGTGTTTTGGGGCAGCCCCATTAGCTTCGCTCGATTAAGTCATTAAAGTAATCTACCCATTCCTAAGTGGCAGAGCAAAGCTGCTGTCACACACCATCACCGTCCACACTGCCGGAGCCATTGTCGAGGGCTCAGCGGTTACGCAAGAGTCATGCTCGCAGTCAGAGGTCGTGGCTTAGGTCAGGTTACCCAAACAGTCCTGGGATCCAGAGAAAGCCCCGTGTTTCACAGCACACCATTTGGCCATTCGTCATTTTAAGAAGTGGCAGTTTGTCCTCATGGTGTCTCGTCTTTCTCAACCCAACTGGTGGCAGATCATTTTGTCTTGTGTTTCTTACCTACGTGCTGTGTTTGTTACTGGATTAGCGATGTCGGGTCATGTTAGATTGAGCCCGTCTGACTCACACCCTCCCCTCAGCTCCTTTACTTGTTATTTTCTTGGCACTTGCTCTTCTACGATTATTGTGTCATCGCAGCAATATTGCAAAGACACTGGGCGCGTGCCCTGGAATTGTTGCCTGTAATTTAAGTGTCAGCTAAACACCATTAATGTCAATATATTGTCTGTGTTCAGAACACTTAAGAGCTGGTAAACATACTGCATGGTTTAGGATACATTCCTTTATGTAGTCTCCTCACTCTCCGTCACTCCTGTTTCTGCCTCTTTCTGTCCTCCATACTGTTTCCTCTTTAATCTCCCCCTCCCTCTTCGCAACTTCACCATCTCTCCGTCTCTCGTCATTCATCCTTACCTCTCCCTCATCCCATTCTTGTCTCTCGTTCTCCAGGTGGCTATAAAAATAGTGGACAAGACCCAGCTGGATGATGAGAACCTGAAAAAGATCTTCAGAGAGGTGCAAATCATGAAGTTGCTGAAGCACCCCCACATCATCCGCCTCTACCAGGTACACACTTGCACTCACCCACAGAGATGATAATGCACTCTGCTCACGTCTCTCATCTTACACCTGACACCTATGGCCCAGTAGTAAAAGGACAAATATATGTTGGTTTAGCATGATCTGATGTCACCTGTCATCGTTTTTTTGGGGTTAATTTAACCAAAGTGTTGAAGATTGTAGGCATTGGTTGGTATTGGATTATAAAATGTACCTGGAAAAAATGCTTCCATAAATGTTTGTATATCTAAGGGACCACCCAGGACAAGAACTTGTCTGTAGTGAGAGTCAGTGGTAGAAGTTGAGCAAGGAGCATTTCTTATTTATTTTCTTTACCCAAAGTCTTCCAGCTGAATGGGGATTGTAACACCAAACCAACCTGTCATGTGCCAACTTTTACAGCATGTTGTCTGTAACAGCCCCGGCAGTTTAAACATTATCTTATCACTTTGATAACCACAAAACATGTTGACTTTCTCATGCACACGTACAGCGAGCGCTGCACTGAGTAAATGGCAGTTTTTGTTCTATTTGAATCTTGCTGTTTGTATGCCAAGCGATGCTTACTCATTGTGTTGTGTAACAGGTGAACCCATCACTAGATGATGTCCTGCCAGAGGGTCTGTAGGTCCTGGTTGTTACAATTTGTTCATGTTTTCAGGTGATGGAGACAGAGAGGATGATCTATTTGGTAACAGAGTACGCTAGCGGTGGAGAGATATTCGGTAAGGAAGTTCCCCAGTGTTATCTTGATGTTTGTCATCACTTGTCTCTCTGCTTTACAGTTTGTGTTTTATTGATGTCTGGCACTTTGCTAAATAGAAAGGGTAAATCTGATAAAAAAAATGTGGTTATAAGACAATTGTTTTGTTTTTTGTTTCACTGTTTGTTCATTCTGGAACACCACTTGATTTCATGTTTTCCCTATATTTACTTCCTTTTGTCTTCTGTTCCACTTATTTGTAGAGTTGGAATGCCTCTCTGACGACAAGTCTCTTATGACCCCTTTCTCTGTTTTCTAAAGGGTTAAAAAAATCCCTTCTTTGTTCCCCCTTTATGATCAGTGCTGTAATCGAATAGGCTAAATCAGAACAGAATCACAGGCCTCACTTCCTCTTTATTCAAAGATTCGACTGAGTACCATAATTATGTAACTGTGTGTGTGTGTGT